CTTTGACCTTTTTTAACTTGTTGAGACTTGTTTGGTGGCCTAGTATGTGATCTATTCTGAAGAATGTTCTATGTACACTTGAAAATAATGTGTACTCTGCTGTTTTAAGATGGAACGTTCTGAATATATCTGTTAGTGCTCGCTTCGGCAGCACATATACTGAATATATCTGTTAGATCCATCTGGTCCAGTGTGTCATTCAAAGCCACAGTTTCCTTGTTGCTTTTCTTTTTGGATGATCTACCATTGATGTAAGTGGAGTGTTAAACTCCCCTACTATTGTTGTATTACTATCAATAACTTCCTTTATGTTTTTTTATTAGCTGCATTATGTATTTGGGTACTCCAATGTTGGCTACATAAATAACAATTGTCATATCCTCTTGTTGGATTGTTCCCTTTATGATTATATAGTGTCCTTCTTTGTCTCTTGTTACATCTGTTTTAGGGTCTATTTTGTCTGATATAAGCATTGCTTCCCCAGCTTTCTTTTCCTTTCCACTAGCATGATAAATGCTTTTCCATCCCTTCACTTTCAATCTACATGTGTCTTTAGGCCTTAGTCTCTTGTAGGCACACATAGATAGGTCTTGCTTTTTTTTTTTTGATAAATTTATTTTTTTATTGGTGTAGGTCTTGCTTTTTTATCCATTCTATCACCCTTTGTCTTTTGATTGGAGCTTTCAGTCCATTTACATTCAAAATAATTATTGCAATGTACTTACTGACATTTTGCTACTTGTTTTATTGTTGTTTTTGTAGTTCTCTGTTTCTTTTCTTACTCTCATCTATCATGGTTTGTTGGCTGTCCTTAGTGTTAGATTCTTTTCTGTTTGTTTTTTGCATATCTATTACTAGTTTTTCATTTGTGGTTACCATTAGTTTTGTATATAACATCCTCTTCATATAGCAGGCTATATTAAGTTAATGGTCACTTAAATTTGAACCCACTTTTTTACTCCTTTCCCTCCCACAGTTTAGGTATATAGTGTCATAGTTCACATACTTTTATTTTGTGAATCCTTTGATTTATATAGACAAACTTATTTTTACTGCTTTTGGGCTTCCTACTTTTCTTACTCCTACTTATGATCTTTCCTTTCCACTCAAAGAGTCCCCTTTAACATTTCTTGTGGGGCTAGCTTAGTAATCATGAATTCCTTTAACTTTTATCTGGGAAACTCTTGTCCTTCCCTCTATTCTAAATGATAGCCTTGCTGGATAGAATATTCTAGGTTGCAGGTTTTTTCCTTTCAGCACTTTGAATATACCATGACACTCCCTTCTAGCCTGAAAAATTAGCTCATAGCCTTATGGGATCTCCCTTGTATGTAACTGTTTTCTCTTGCTGTTTTTTTTTAAGATTTTATTTATTTATTCATAGAGACAGAGAGAGAGAGGCAGAGACACAGGCAGAGGGAGAAGCAGGATCCATGCAGAGAGCCTGACGTGGGACTCTATCCAGGGTCTCCAGGATCACGCCCTGGGCTGCAGGCGGCGCTAAACTGCTGAGCCACCAGGGCTGCCCCTCTTGCTGTTTTTAAAATTCTCTCTTTATCACTATTTTTTGCCATTTTAATTACTACGTGTTTTAGTGTAGACCTCCTTGGTTTGACTTTTGAGGGCTTTCTGTACCTCCTGGATCTGGATTTCTATTTCCTTCCTCAGATTTAGTAAGTCTTCAATTATTATTTATTCAAATGAATTTTCTGCTCCCTTTATCTCTCTTCCCCTTCTGTGATCCCTATAATATGAATGTTATTACACCTGATGGTGTCATTGAATTCTCTAAGTCTACTTTCAACTTTTATTACTTTTTTCTTCTCTCTTGTTCAGCTTGATTGCTTTCCATTATTCTGTCCTCCAGGTCACTTATTCATTCTCCTGATTCCTCTAGTCTACTTTTTATTCCATCCATGTATTTTTTTAAAGATTTGTTTATTTATTTTAGGAAGAAAGAAGAAAGAAAGAAGAAAGAAAGAAAGAAAGAAAGAAAGAAAGAAAGAAAGAAAGAAAGAAAGAAAGAAAAAGAAAGAAAGAAAGAAAGAAAGAAAGAAAGAAAGAAAGAAAGAAAGAAAGAGTGAGAGGGTCAGAGGAGAGAGGAAGAGACTCTCAAGCAGTCTCTGCACTGAGCATGGAGCCCAAAGCCAGGCCTGGTCTCATGACCCTGAGGTCATGACCTAAGCTAAAACCAAGAGTTAGACAATTAACTGACTATGCCACGCAGGTGCCCCTCCATCTGAGTATTTTTAATTTCAGTTATTGAGTTCGTCTTCTCTGCTTGGTTCTTTTTTATGTTTTTTATCTCTTTTTTAAAGGTCTCACTGAGGTCCTCCACTCTTCTCAAGTCCAGTAAATGTCTTTATGACCATTACTTTAAATTCTCCGCCAGAGGCACCTAGATGGCTCAGTTGGTTAAGCATCTGCCTTCAGCTCAGGTCATGATCTCAGGGTCCTGGGATCAAGCCCTGTGTTGAGCTCCCTGCTCAGCAGGGAGTCTGTTTCTCCCTCTGCCTCTCCCCTGCCCCCATTCATGCTCATTTTCTCTCTCTCTCTCTCTCTCTCTCTCTCTCTCTCTCTCTCAAATAAATAAACAAAAATGTTTTAATAAAATAAATTCTCTGGGCATATTACTTATCTCCATTTCTTTTATCTCTATTGCCATGAGTTTGTCCTATTCTTTCATTTGGGACATATTCTTCTGTCTCCTTCTTTTATCTAATTCTCTGTGTCTGCTTATATGTGTTAGGAAAGTCAGTTGTGCCTCCTGCTATTGAAAGTAGTGGCCTTATGAAGAAGAGGTCCAGGAGTGTCCTGAAGTGCAATGTCCCATTCACCAGAACTTGGAGCTTCAGGGGTGTCTACTATATGTGCTGTGTATGCATTGCTGTTGTGACTGACCTCTTTTGTTTTCAGTCCAGTCATCTGCAATGATTGTCCTTGCTTGTTGTGGGCAGGGTTTGATCCTCATGTTCTTGTTAGTGGGCCAATCTGGGACTGCCTGGGCTTGAGTTGAGTCAGACTAGGCATTTGCCAGAGATGCAATAGCAGTGAACTACAGGGTGCTTTCCTTGTTTGGTTCCCTGGAAGCTTTTCTTTGGTGGGCATGGTCTGCACTCAGACCAGATGTTTGCCCCTAGCCCATTGGTGGGGCCACAGCTGAACTCATGTGTGTGTGTATGTGTGTGTGTGTGTGGTTACCTTCCCTTCTCCCTGGGTCAGGAGTCACTTTGGAATGGTGCTGGCCCCTGATGGCACTGCTTACACACTGCCAGGCTTGTGGCACCACTTTGGATGGGCTTTGGTCAAGATCACATTGGAAGGGCAAAACCACAGGAGAACTCAGGGGCAAGCTGAGTAGTGTCATCAAGGTCTGCACCAGTTGGCTGCAGGGAGGGACCTGTAGCAAATGGGACCCAGGCAAGGTGGGTTGGAGGGGGGGAAATCTGCAGAAGTGGAGGTTGGGGAGAGGTATCTGGTGTTAGCAAGGTTTGCGTAGGTCTGCTGTGGGAGGGGACCTGGAATGGAGGCATGGGAAGAGGCATGTCTACAGGAGAATGCGGGGGCCGAGTGTGCTGTTAGCAAGTTAGGTATTGAGTGTTGGCACTGCACTGGTTCCCACAGGTGTCCGTATGTCTAGGCTGAGGGGCGGGGGAGGGATATGATACCCACCAGCTCCTTTGTTCTTGGAGAAATCTCCCAACGATCTCTGCCCCTCCAGCACATGCTCTGAGATTAGTAAACAAATCTCTCTCCCATGTATTCCAGGTGTTTTTCAAACTGCTGCTTCTATGCTGTTTCTGCGGGGCTGTTTGTTGTGCTGCCTCTTTAAGGGCAGGGACTGTTTCTTCTCTTCTTCCCAGAGCTGAGCCAGCTGATTTTTAAAGTTCCAGATGTGAAGCCCAGCTGATTGTAAGAACTCATGAAATCAGGTGCCTCTGATTTTCAAAAGCAAATGTTACAGGGATTTGTCCTCCCTGTGTGAGAATCTGTTTCTGTCCCTGCTCTGTACCCACACCATCCCTTCCTCCCACGGATAGTCCTGTGGGTCTGTCAATTCCCAACTGCATCTCTGCCCTTCCCACCCTCCTTGATGTGACCTCTTCTATACATTTAGCTGTGGAGAATTTGTTCTGCCAATCTTCAGGTCATTTTCTGGGCTATTTACATTGGTGTGGTGTTATCTAGTTGTATCCATGAGGCAAGGTGTGCTTAAGGTGCTTCTCTGCCATTTTCCCCAAAAATCCAATTTTTATTATTTTTTTAAAGGATTCAGGACTGTATATATAGTATGCTGTCATGTATGTATCTATACCTAGAATATTTCTAGAAATATCAACAAGAAATTCATAATAGTAATTCCTAGAGAGAGGAAATGGGTAGTTGGGGACAAGAAAGCTTGCTGTTTAAATTATGTACACCTTTTTGTATCTTTTCAATTTTATGTATTACCAGTTCCCCCAAAAAGCAAACTTAAACACCTACACACACTGTGAATAGAGGAAAAAATGGAACAAAAGGGAAAGAAAGGACCAGGAAGAAGGTCTGGAAGCACAATGGTCATAAATTTAGACCAAAAGGCAAAAGCAACTCAAATTCTAGAGGCAGAGCTCCCTGCTCCGCAGTGTTTGGGGCTGACTCATTTGTCCATTTATTTACCAAACATTCCAGAGTGACTTTCATGAGCCAGTAAGGTGTTAAATGTTCAGGCACAGGCCTTGGTCCTGTCCTTAAGTAATTCATATACTGATGGGGAACAGAGGAATAACTAGACTATTGTCATGTCAACTCGTGGAGATAACACCCATTCAGGGTTTGCAGAAGCATAAGAGAGAGGCACTGAGGTCTAGTATGCAGTGGAAAATGAAGAGAAAACTTCCCTAGAACACGATTCTGGCTTCTTCCTTCTGTCCCTAGGTCTTCTATCATCATCACCTTATTCTTTCCTGTTGCAGAAGGGAGGGATCTGAGCAATCTCCTCATTGCTGTTGTCCCTACAGAGCAGGTGCAGGAGCCTCAAGTCATCATAAAGTCTGTGAACAAATCTGATAGTGGCTCCTGTAACGTTACCTTGATTTGCTTTGTGGAGAAGGCAAGGACAAGTGTTCTGTACAGCTGGACCGGGAGGGATGCCAATGCTTCTGAATCCCATGAGGGCTCTACTCTCACCATCCAATGGACGCTGTGTCACCCAGACCTGCCATACACCTGCACGGCCAGGAACCCAGTCAGCCAGAATACTTCCAGCCCTGTCCGCGTCCAGCAGTTCTGTACAGGTACGGGCTCCACGTAGGTCCTCCAGGGGATTCCAGAAAAAGGTCTGAGCAGACATGGAGTCTAAACCACCAGGGTTTGGGCAGGACACAGGTGGAGTCAGGTTTGGAGACCCTTTATTCTCTACTCTCCGGGGCCTGAGAGAGACTGTCAAGGCTCTTGGGAACTCCCAGGGAACTGTGAAGCTCTAAGGGTAGAGCAAGGGAGGGAAGAGAATATGGATGAAGAGGTCCAGTTTGTTCTTTGTTTGGGTGGAAGTGTCCCCTGAGGTCTCCTCAGAAGGCCAGGGAGGGCAAGAAAGGCCTGAGTATGCAGAAGGCAGAGCCAGGTGCATATCTGTCCATGACAAGAGCTCAGCGGGGATGCTCATCAGAGGAAGGGAGAAGGGGTGCGGGCAAGAGAGCCTACTAGGCTTCAACCTCCTTCAGGCAGGCTGAGGCTTCAGGGAAGAGAACCAATGACTGAAGCCACAATGTCTCATCTCTGACTGCAGCTCCAGGAGCCTCCAGAGGAGAACCAATGGGGGAGACGGTGGTGGGAGTCCTGGGGGAGTCGGTCACCCTGCCCCTAACATTCTCGGCCAGTCACCCCATAGAGAACGTCGTTTGGATGCTTAACACATCTATTATCAGCAAAGAACAGAAGGAAATGGCAACAGCGGATCCACCCATTAAGTTCAAGGATCCAAACAAGAACTCTAGCCAAGACTTCTCCCTGAAGATTGACCAGGTAAAGATGGAGAACGCAGGGCACTACTCTGCCTATGTGTGCTCAGAGGCCTCCAAAGTCATCAAAACAAAACACATCACCCTGCTTGTCTATGGTGAGTTTCTGAGCTGAGTGCTCACCATTAAATTCCTTCCCTGAGATGTTTCTCCTCTTTGCTGCTTTTCCTGCTCCTCCCCCACCCCCCACCCCCACCCCCGCCGAAACTTTCTTCGTACCAAAGTGCCTCAGATCACTAGGATAGCTATCGAGTCCAGACCGGTCAACAATAGGGCAACATCTACCTGCCAAGGTCCCCCTTCTGCTGGGCTTTCAGTTAGGTCTGCACCATCTGACCTTCAGTACTTGCCCCTGTCCTCCTGTATTGCTTGTCAAATGGGCCTGGGAACTCTTCAACCTGTATTTTTATAGAATATTATCATGTAAAAAAATGTAAAAAAAAAAAAAAGAATATTATCACGTATGAATAAGGGCACAGCTGGCTGGAGTGAAATCAGAGAAGACTCAGGAGAAAGCTTTTAGTGTCCAAAGACCCCATGACCTCCACGCAGGAAGGCTGCTTAGCTCTCCCAAGCATGAGGGACAGAACTTGCAGTCTTCCTCCTCAGGCTTGGGCCTCGCAGGATCTTGACTTTACAGTTGGGTTTACATTTGCCAGCTCCTTCACCTGTACCATCCAGACATGGTCATCACATCCCCTGCTTGGGTTTTTTGGTGTCTAAGTATCTGTGAAGAGTCACCATCCATGGCCCTGTTAAAATATGCTGGAGGTCAGCTAGTCCACATTTATAGCATATTGTGACTCAAATATTTTTTAAGAGGCAAGAGGATTAAATAATAATAATAATAATAATAATAATAATAATAATAAAAGTGGGTACAACTGGTGCCAATCATATTTCTTTTAAAATTACTAAATTGTAATTTACCCTGGGTAGCTCAGTAGATTGAGTATCTGCCTCCGGCTCAAGTCATGACCCCAGAAATCTGAGAGCAAGCCTCATGTCAGGCTTCCTGCTCGTCAGGTAGCCTGCTTCCCGTCAGCCCTGCTCATGCTCTGTCTCACACACACACACACTCACTATCACATATAAATAAAATCTTTTTAAAAACAAAGCTGCTAACATTCATTGAGCACTAACTCTGTGCCATTGTGGCTCTCACCTCTTTACACTTTATCTCTTGAGTAAAAAACTTAGATGATGGAGCCTCCACATGGAAGCCTTGAAGAATCTTCAAAGCACATGGAATATTGTGCTTACCCTTGCCGCTAGTTCTACACAGGGTATTGTGTAGGATGATGCGGTATCTTTCTTTTTCCACTCTTCTTTAATTCCTTCTTTTAGCATCTAGGCATCAAAGGACCAAAGAGGTGAAATGATATGTCTGAGATTTCCTGGCTACCAAGGGAAAGGCCAGGTGCGCTCAGAATGCCTGTGGCTCCTGGAGGCACTTTCCCAGCCTTAAGGCAGTGCCAGCTCACAACTTCATGAGAATATTCTAAATGAGTGAAGATGTGGTGACTGCCCAGCGGGCAGGCCTGACTCTGCATTAGGTCTGTCTTTCTCCTTACACAGGGAGGTTGAAGAAGCCAAAGATTACCTGGAGCCTTGAGCTTGCTGAGAATGACATCTGCAGGGTCAGTCTGACATGTTCAGTGGAGGACAGTGGACACAACGTGACATACAGATGGACTCCCCTACCAAAAGGAACTATCGAGTCCCAAAGAGGACCTCACCTCAATGTCTTTTGGACAAGTGGTGAAAATCATCCCAACTTCACGTGCATCGCCAGCAACCCTGTCAGCAGCAGCTCCCAGCAGTTTCTTTCCGGCAACATCTGTCCAGGTCACCCTTTACCTCTGCTCAGCCAGACCTCAGGGCCTTGGATGCTTGGATCCAAGTATTTGCATTCTGAGCGGCTTTTTAGGAATACAGTGAGGGAGTATGGGCGAGGGTACTTTATTTTTTTTTATTTTTTATTTTTTTGGTGAGGGTACTTTAGAGCAGCACATTCCAATAAAAATAGAATAGGAATCACACATGTAATTTATATTTTCTAACAGCCACATTCAGTAAAGCGAAAAGAAACAAGTAAAACTAACTTTAATAAATGTATTCTACTTAACCCACCAAATCCAAAATATCACCATTTTAGATTGTATTCAATACAATTATACTTGAAATAATTTATATTTCATGTTCTACTAAGTTTTTCAAATCCAGCATGTCTTTTACACCAATAGTTCATCCCAATTCAGATGGAGAGTACTTGATTTGTATTCAGATTTCATAAAAGTTACAGTTGAAAAGGTACATTTTACATATCCAAGCTGTTCCAAACCTACTTATCGATTTTTCAAGCAGAAATTGAAGAGCCATATTTCAATTTCGACTTTTTAAAAATTAAAGTAAATAAGCAATTTAATTCTCCAGTCATACCAGCCACATTCCAAGGGCTCATACCACGGCCTGTGGCTACCACACTTGGACAGTACAGTGTCAGAGGTTAGTGAAGATGAGTTGATAGAAATTGATAGGTGAAGGGCACCCAGGTGGCTCAGTTGGTTAAGCTTCTGCCTTTGGCTCAGGTCATGATCCCAGGGTCCTGGGACTGAGTCCTGCATCAGGCTCCCTCCTCAGCAAGGAGCCTGCTTCTCCCTCTCCTGCCTGCTGATCCCTCTGCTTGTGCTCTCTCTCTCTTTCTCTCTCTCTCTCTCTCTCTCTCTCTGTCAAATAAACAAATAAAATCTTTATTTAAAAAAAAAAGAAAAGAAAAAAAAATTGATAGGTGAAGGAATGCAGACCACAAAGGAACACAGACTGTGAGTGGAAACTTCTAGTTCCTGTCTAAGGAAGTCCTAGTGGCTCTTACTAGATGCCAGGCACTATTCTAGGTCATTTTAGCCCAATTAACTTCACAGTAATCCTACGTAGCAGATACTGTTACTATTCTCCATTAAATAAAGACTGAGACTCAGAAAGGGTAAGGGATGTGCCCAAGGTCACACAGCAAAAGTATGATTAGAACCCTGAGTTCTGTGCTCTCTTTGCTCTAGAAGGAAGTAGAAAAAAAAGGAAAGCTTGTCTAGGCTGTGACAATGCTAGATCAGGCTGGAGGATGGATTTAGAGCCCTGTTAAGTGGAAATCTTGGCTCTATCTTGAGCCTAGAGCTACCCTTACACCGTTCAGAGAGAGGAGCAGTGGAGTGTGATGGAGAAGGATGTGTCAGGACAGGCAGCCTGCATTCAAATCCTGTTCAGATATTTAAAACTCTGTGACGCTGGGTAAGGCGTAGATCTCTCTACCTAGAAACAGTGTCTGCCTTAAATACTGTTATAGCTTCTATCCCAGAACAATGCCTGTTCGATAAATAGTGGTATAATGAATGAATGAAAAGGAATATTTTCTGCAATAGCACGAGATTTTTACGAGCCAGGTAGGATGGCCATAATGCTTGGTCCATTGTTCCAATCTCCTTGTTATTATTTATATTAATACATCCTTCATTTCCTCTTCAAAGGGCCTAAGAGAAGCATGAAGTTTTACATTGTGATCTTCACGGTGATGGCTGTCATCGTTCTGTGCCTTGTGACCACCTGGTGCATTTGGAAGCGAAAAAGACCTTGTGGGTTTCTGAGATCATGGACACCCGCCAGCATTAGACCATATTCCTACGACCTTTGAAGGCTTGTCTGCCCTGTCACGATCCCCTCCTACCACTTCTTTCCCAAAACCTCATTTCTTCTCAGAGTGATGAGGGGAGGGCTGTTAGTTGGGACTCTAAATTTAGGTACAAATCATTGAAACCCAACTCAAACTACTTTTATTTTTTTTTTTCATTTTTTTTCAAACTACTTTTAAAAGGTGCCAGAGGTGTGATTTATTATTTTGGAACTCACATAATCAATCCGTGGGGAAGACAGGGAAGGAGCTGGCCTTAAAAACAAAGGTTACCAGAGACTCAAAAATCACCAGAGCTCTCCATCTCTCACCCTTACTTTCTGCTTTGAGCTGAGGGGCAGGGGTGGGGGTGGCGTGTGCCACAACACAGCCATTGGTAGCTGCAGACTCCCACCTACTAATAGGTAAGCCACCAGGAAGAGAAAAAAGATGCATCCCTCCAACTGCAACTCAAAAGATTTCTGATTGGCACAGTCTTGGGTCATGTGACCATTGATTGGCCCAATCACTGTCTAACCCAAAAGGGTTAGCTATTATGATTGGCAGCTCCCTCAGAATTTCATGTCTCAGTGGAATTGGAATAGTTCCCAGGAAGTAGATATTGGTAAGGCCGCATGGGATCCCTGAACAATCGCTGCAAGCCAGCAAACCAATCTGATGGGTGGCTACCACGGGGGTGCAGACGGCCGACAGGAGGCTCCTCAGCTGAAGATGACCTTAGGATTCTGGTCACCCTTTCCTGTGCGTACCTACTCACTCCAGGGTTCACCTCCTCCCTAAAGCCTTTTCCTTGGCTTTGTCCGTTTGACACTCAGAATCCTCCGCCTCTCTCCTCACAGCCCTATTGATAAACCTTCTCTTCTTAGGTTTGTCAGGTTCAGCCCCAACCTCCTGCCCCGGCCAAGCTGAAACCCCAGTGGAGGAACCAGGTAAAATCACAGTGACACAGGCTGTGGGGTCTCTGGGCCAGATGGAAGCTCCAAAGCCTGGCTATTTGTTCAGTGTGGTCTACCAACCAGCAACACGAGCATCCCCCAGGAGCTTGTTAGAAATGCAAATCGTGGGCACCTCCCCATATAATGAGCTCTAGTCTGCATCTCAAGGTAAATCACATGCCTGTTAAAGTTTCATTATCAATGTGGTTTGGAGAAGGAACGTGGTTTGGGGAACAGAAACCACAACCAGGATGAACCCTGGAAAGATGGTAACCAGAGCCAGGGGAGGCAGCTGTCCTCTGGGGTCTCTAGTGTTCCCCCAGTACTGATCATGATCCCTTGAATGTGGCCTCTGATGAAGACGGAGATAGTTGCCTTACTCTGAGAAGGGAGAAATAAAGGCCAGATAGAAAAATCTGTGGCAGGAGCAAAACTAAAACCTAATTAGAATTAAAACCCATGAGATTATCTAGGACGTCTTTTACCCAAGAACATCACTGAGGGAGTGATTTTCCAGGTTTTTTTTTTAAGGTTTTGCTTATTTATTCAGAGAGACACAGAGAGAGAGGCAGAGACACAGGCAGAGGGAGAAGAAGGCTGGCTGTAGGGAGCCTGATGTGGGACTCGATCCCGGGACCCCGGGGTCATGACCTTTGCCGAAGGCAGACACTCCACCCCTGAGCCACCAGGGTGCCCTGATTTTCCAATTTGTGAAAAATCTAAGGAATGCTTTCTTCAAACAAAATACTCTGCAACACCCCAATAGCACAAAGTGTATAGAAGTGGAGCTGTCTTGATGGGTGTTGGAGTGGTGAGCGGAGCTGCCTGCATCTTAACCGCCTCCCCTTCCCATCACTCAGTGTCCTCAGTTGCCACCCTGAACTCTAAGCTCTGAAGTTCTAAGGAATCCCCAAACTCCACCCATTCGGACAAACTCTGCTTTAAAAACACCCATGTAACCTCTCACAGAGGAGATACCCCAAGGAGATGGAACAGGAGGAGGGCCTGGGTGGGAGGCCAGCAGCTCAACTAATCCAACAGTGTAGGCTTTTCCGATGGGAAAGTGCAGCCAGGAGAAAGGAACCAAAAAGTGAGAATGAGGCTAAGTGGGGAGCTTCCCGCCAGCTCCCTCCTCACAGCTGACAGGGCAGACCCTGGCCTCCCCCAGCCCACGCCCTTGCTCCTTGGTGCCCTGGGCACAGAAGGAGGGGTAAAGAAGTGCTGGGACACCACTGTCACCCCTGCTCTTCCTCCCTCCCAGTGCCTTTCCTCGGCTCCCAAGATCTGCCTCTTTAACCTCCTAGTATCCTCTTCTCTATTTATTTTTTCTAAGATTTTATTTATTTATTCATGAGAAACAGAGAGGCAGAGACACAGGCAGAGGGAGAAGCAGGCTCCCTGCAGGGAGTCCCACATGAGACTCTATCCCGGGTCTCCAGGACCATGACCTGAGCCAAAGGCAATGCTGACCCGCTGAGCCACCCAGGCGTCCCATAGTCTCCTCTTCTCTAGATCTTCTTTCACTACCGAGGTTCATTATGTCACAAAATTTTTGTTTATTGAATAGTTTTTTTTTTTAATTGAAAAGTCATATATTCCCATGGTATACAATTAAGTCTCCTTTCAGGGCAGCCCGGGTGGCTCAGCGGTTTAGCGCCGCCTTCAGTCCAGGACCTGATCCCCGGGTCCTGGGATCGAGTCCCCCGTCAGGCTCCCTGCATGAAGCCTGCTTCTCCCTCTGCCTCTCTCTCTCTCTCTCTCTCTGTGTGTGTGTGTGTGTGTGTGTGTGTGTGTCTCATGAATAAATAAGTAAGATCTTTTTTTAAAAAATGTGTTTCTAAATCCTTTTGGGGTCTTTAATGCATTGATAGGCATTAGATATATTCATGAATGTGTAATGTGTGTGTGTTTGTGTGTGTGTAGGTGACGTTCTTTTAATTACACATATGGGAGCGATCTATAGCATTTTTCTGAACCTTGCTTTTTTACCTTAACAGAATATCCTAGTAATATTAATATATGTAAGACTGGCTCCCATTTATTCCATCCTACAGATGTGCCTTATTTAACCAGTCCTCATTACCAGACACTCTCATTCCTTGTTACTTCTTCCCTAAAATAGTATAATAGTTTCTAACTGGCCATTCCTTCTCCAGAGTTTCTCTTTTCTATCCCTTCTGCTCATCCCTTTGCAAAGCTCAACTCTGACTGCTCTAAAACCACCAATAGCTCCTTGTGGACTTTGTCTGTTACTCAAAAAGCAATAAAACCTAAGGGCCGGGTGTATGTGTTCTGAGATCAGACAGTCTTGTGTTCGAACCCTGATTCTGCTCATTAATGATCTTGGGCAATTCAGTCTCGACGCATCAGTTTCCCTACCTTGCAAAATAAGTGCACCCACTTCTTAGGGTTGCTGTGAGTACTGAGTGGGTCAGTGACAAAGTGTGCACTCAATAGGTGGTAATTACTGTTATATTATCACTCAGGATTTAGTCAGACCACCCTTTACCTACTTTTTTCCTACACAAAGCCCGTAGAGAGCTATTAGGAGGAGTAGTTAAGAACATCAGGGGAAAAAAATCAGGGCGAAGTTTCCCAAGCATTCAAATCCTGACCCTACCACTTACTTGGGCAAATATTTAAACCTTATGTGCTACAGTTTCCTCATCTGCAAAAAATATAGTTTTTGTTTTACAGGGTTTCTTTCAGATTGAAAAAGCTTATTAATGAAAAGTGTTTAGAATGGTGGCTGACACATACTAGGCACTTGGTAAATGTGAGCCATTATTTCTACACTCAGAAATAGAGTGTAGGCAGGTAGACATGCACCTCGTGTGCCAACCAGTTGTTCAAAACCGACACTCACTTCTGATTGTCCTACACCCAGTCCATTGCAGTTGTTAAATATTTTGAATGCCATCTTTTCCCAAAAGAGAGGGTTTCACACCTGCCCTTAATCATGGTGCTTCTTCAACCAAGAATAATCCGTCCCTCATCAAAATCTTGCCCCTCCATCAAGGCCCATCTCAATCCCACCACCTTCATCCGTTCTCTGCTTCCTAACCAGAGCCCGTGTCCTCACATTTTCCTCACTCTTTTCATGTCACCCTTACCAGAGCTGGGCTTGCATTCATTGATTTCTGTATGGATCTGACCCCCAGCAGGACAGCATCCTCCTTCAAGAGCAGGTCTAATGACGTTTGTGCTTTCCCAGAGTACACATCACGGCACTTAGGATGGCTTATCCAACAGAGCCGGTTGGGCTCACAGAGAGTTGCTGGGTTTATCCCGTGCCATACCCCATGCATGTTTACCAAGTGAAAATGAGTGAATGCTTCAAAGGAGGAAGGGGGGGCACCTGGGTGGCTCAGGGATTGAGCATCTGCCTTTGGCTCAGGTTGTGATCCCGGGGTTCTGGAATCGAGTCCCACTCCTGGCTCCCCACAGGGAGCCTGCTTCTCCCTCGGCCTGTGTCTCTGCCTCTCTCTCTCTCTCTCTGTCTCTCATGAATAAATAAATAAAATCTTAAAAAAAAAAAAAAAGGAGGAAAGAGTGGAATAGAATCCCCTGTGGGGAGACAGAGCAACCTCTCCTCCAGTTCCTTAGGCTTCACCTGGGGTAGAAGTCAGTGCAGCTTGGATCCTTGCACAAAACAAGAAAGAGGTGGGGGCTGCCACACTTTTTACCCAGCCTGCACAATGCGTTTGAAACTCACCACTGGCCGCACATTGTGCAATATGCTCTCCCAAGGGTATCAGGAGTTGGACACGCTCCCTCAGCCTGCCAAGCAACAGACTAAGTCCACCTCCGACGGCAGTGAAACAAGTGAGGAGCACCAGGAAAGGACTGACACACTCAAGGCTGGAAGACACCAAAAGTATGTCTTGGTCAACCAGGAGGACACTCAATTTGACTCAGCATCTGAGGGGCAAGCAGAGTATGATCTCGTCACTCCGGAACCCGTAGTGCCTGCGTCTGTGGCCCAAAACAGCACGGTGTATACGCAAGTATTCCTCAACTCTCGGGTGAGCTTTTTTGATTAGTATACATTCCCTCCTCCTCCTCCACTTCTAGAACCATCCAATATCCTGGATGACTAGTCCCTCCAGACTGGGGGCCAGGACCAGCAGCACATGGGCAGATAACTGTGGCTCTATCCGTGTTTACCAAACCTTGGGGTCCCTTGAAGTGAAGGAGCTCGTCCTCAGCTCCAAATCTTGGGCCATTAATAAGGGAAGCACTGTCCCCATTGCACTAAGGCAGCCACCATCGTCTAAGACCTGAACCTGGTACAGTGTCCCCTCTCCTTAAGGGCTGAAGGGTAAATTCTGGAAATCTCTCATAGGTGATTATGGGTAGTCTGATGTTGGTCTGTTACAGGGAAAGACCTCAGTTCCTCAGCAGAAAGAGGATTTAGCCACAATCTACAGCTCTATACAGACACCTCAAAAGGTGAGAACAATTCTCTCTGTATCCCAAGGCTCCTAAACCAAGGAATTATTGTGCAGACCATTTTAATTGAAAGTCCTAGGGCAGCCCGGGTGGCTCAGCGGTTTGGGGCCGCCTTCAGCCCAGGGCGTGATCCTGGAGACCCGGGGTCGAGTCCCACGTTGGGTTCCCTGCATGGAGCCTGCTTCTCCCTCTGCCTGTGTCTTTGCCTCTCTCTCTCTCTCTCTCTCTCTCTCTCTCTCTCTCTGTCTCTCATGAATACATAAATAAAATCTTTTAAAAAAAATGAAAGTCCTAGATCCCCATGGCAAAGTAACTAAGTTCTATCCAGTATGCATCCCCTTGACATACTCCATGGTCAACAGAGATGCTTTTTTTTTTTAAAGATTTTATTTATGTATTCATGAGAGACACACAGAGAGAGGCAGAGACACATGCAGAGGGAGAAGCACGCCCCCTGCGGGGACCCCTATAAGGAACTCGATCCCGAGACCCCGGGGTCACACTCTGAGCCAAAGGCAGATGCTCAACTGCTGAGCCACGAAGGCATCCCAACAAAGATGCTTAAACAAATATTTCTGATTCACATCTGTTTGGCCAAAGGCTGAACATTTCTAATTAATTTAATAATGTTTTATATTGGTTATTCTTGACACTGACCAGAATGAGAAGCTGTAAATACAAATACTGCATGATTTATGTGTATTTCTAAATCTACTTCTAAACCTAATCTTAATCCACCAAAATGGTAATTTCCCAAAACAATTAGAAATTAGCCAATAGTCCAATGTCAAGATTTTTTTGAAAAAAAAAAAGATTTTTTTGAAAATGTGCTATTAACTACAACACTTTGGTTTTATTTTGTTAAAAGATCCCTTAATGGTAGAATTTACTATTAAATAATAAAAATAACTTTTACATCACGTTCATAAAACATTAACAAACATATTCTCTTGGGATCCTTAGGACACTTCTATAAATGTGTTGGCACCCACATTTTCCAGCCAAAGAAGCTGAAATTCGCAGAAGCTAATTTTGCCAAAGGTCACACAGATAGTAGTTGGGCTTTCGGTATTAAAAACCACAAGGAGGATCCCTGGGTGGCCCAGCGGTTTGGCGCCTGCCTTTGGCCCAGGGCGCGATCCTGGAGACCCGGGATCGAGTCCCACGTCGGGCTCCCGGTACATGGAGCCTGCTTCTCACTCTGCCTGTGTCTCTGCCTCTCTCTCTCTTTCTGTATGTGACTATCATAAATAAATAAAAAATTTTAAAAAATAACAAATAAATAAATAAATAAATAAATAAATAAATAAATAAATAAATATTAAAAGGAGGGCACCTGAGTGGTTCAGTGGTTGAGCATCTGCCTTGGGCCCAGGGTGTGATCCCGGGGTCCTAGGATCGAGTCCCACTTTGGGCTCCCTGCATGGAGCCTGCTTCTCTCTCTGCCTGTGTCTCTGCCTCTCTGTGTGTCTCTCATGAATAAATAAATAAAATCTTCAATAAATACATAAAAATAAATACCACAAAGACTTTTAAAACAATCCTGAATAATCTTTTTTTTTAAGATTTTATTTATTTACTCATGAGAGACAGAGAGAGAGAGGCAGAGACACAGGCAGAGGGAGAAGCAGGCTCCATGCAGGGACCCCAATGAAGGACTCGATCCCAGACCCAGGATCTTGCCCTGAGCTGAAGGCAGATGCTCAACCGCTGAGCTACCCAGGCATCCCCAATCCTGAATAATCTTAAATAATTAACCTTGATCTGAATCTAGCTGCCTGTTCTGCTTTCACTTCCCTGAAAACATTGGGCTCATATATACTTTTATTTTCAAATCTCCCCCAGAATTCCTTCCTTGTTTTTCCTCCTTGTTTTAAGGTGTTCAAACAAGATTTTAAAAAAATATATTTATTTACTTATTTTAGAGGTGGAGAGGGACAGAGCAAGAGGGCGAATCTCAAGCAGACGCCCTTCTGAGTGTGGAGCTGGACACGGCTCGATCTCATGACCCTAAGATCCTAACGTGAGCCAAAATCAAAAGTCAGATGCCTAACTGACTGAGCCACCCCAGCGCCCCCAAACAAGATTTTAAAAAAGAAAACCTCTCGAGGTTGTTCATTTCTACTGCTTCCCTGTGACTAATGAATCAATTTATAGATATTTATTGAACACCTTTTGTTTGCCCAGAACAAGGCTGAGTGCTTTGGGGATTCAGATATATGTTTAAGGCACCTTCCTCAACCTCGAAGGCCTGTTACCTTATCTGGCTTTCAGTGGAGGAAACATGGAACCAATTCAATCACCTGGGAGGTAAATAAAAACACATACTACATACTACTTGTTAGGTGTGCCGTTCCCAAAGGTTTTCCAGACATTGGAAGTAGGGGGACATCAGTGCACACTGCACTGAGGTAGACAGGAAAGGCTTCATGAAAAAAATTAATTTGGATTGGACCGTAAAAGATGGATAGAATTTGCTCAGGAAATGTTTGTACAGATATGCAGCTCAGCTCAACCATCATCTACCTCATGTCCTGTCCTGTGGAGTGTGGCCTCTGCTTAGCCTGTAAGGTACTTCACCTGTGGCCTTGACACCACATCTACGCTTTTCACTATATTCCCAAAGCTGTTTTCTACTCTGACCTGGCTCTTTGTGTTTGGGCCAATACTGGTCAATCGTAGAGTCACGGACATCCGTCCCACTCTGAGTTTCAGAATGGCCTTGAGTCACCTCTGGTCTGGTTAGTCCTGCACGGCTCCCACACCACCCCAGGAACTCCAGATCCCTGCAACCACCCTCACTCACAGTCTAGGTGGAAATCAGTGCGTTTCCCCAGCCAAAGGTCTTGACAGTATGTATCCCTTGCCTTCAGAATTTTCAGGACCACGAATCCTGATTCTGGATCCCTTAAGGCCATCATTGCCCACTTGCTCAGGAAATCCGCACACCCACTTTAGCTATTATTTTCTGACACACGACACCTCAAAGGTTTATGCTATTCCCAAGCTACTACTGACACTCTGTCTCCTCTCCTCCCTGCGTCAGCTCCCATCTCAGCTGCTCCTCGGGGCCTTCCCTGAACAGCGAGCAAGTCCTCAGGACCCTGGGAACACAAGGGCCTAAGGGTCTGGGCCTGGATGCATCACTTGGATACATAACTTCTACCGCCTGAAATATCTTTATATAGATGTTTGTCGCGACATCTGGGTGGCCCAGTCTGTTAAACCTCTGCCTTTGGCTCAGGTTATGATTCTGGAGTCCTGGGATCGAGCCCTGCATTCAGCTCCCAGCTCGATGGGGAGCCTGGTTTCCCCTCTGCCTCTCCCCCTGCCTCTCCTCTCGCACTTTCAAATAAATAAATATAACATATTTTTATTTATATATATTTATGATCTATATGTAATATAAAAGGCCTTGAGAGCAAGGCCTTTTATTGTCAGTTTTGTAATCCCTTGACTTGCTATACTAAACCGCCCTCTATCTTCCTTACAGAGAGCCTAGCCAACCTCCCATTAGGAGATTCTCTACTGGGATGCTCAGGTGGCTCAACGGTTGAGCGTCTGCCTTTGGCTCAGGGCCTGATCCTGGATTCCCAGGATCGAGTCCCGCATCGGGCTCCCTGCGTGGAGCCTGCCTCTCCTCCCTCTGCCTGTGTCTCTGCCTCTCTTTCTGTGTCTCTCATGAATAAATAAATAAAATCTTTATTAAAAAAAAAAGGAGATTCTCCGTAAATGCCTGCCATCAGCTTGATGGATTGTCCCACCCCTAGACCAGTCCGTATGACCTGACTCCTACAGCGTGGACCAGTCTTAGCCCAGCCTGACCTTCCTCTCTCACCAGACGCTAGAGCCTCCCAGCCTTTATTAACCATATTCTTATGTGTCTCTTGGCTCACAGGTGGTGCCACCACCACAACAGAATGATCCTGAATCTCCTGAAATCCCTACCTATGAAAATTTCACCTGAAAAGAAAAGCAACTGCTGCTTCTACCCCTGTAGTTGGAGAAGCTGCTGGACAGTATGGGGCCTCGAGTTCCTAGAGACAGAAACACTTCAGAATTGCCTTCAGTGTCTCTACGATGCCCGGATCTGACCCACCCCCTTCCTGCTACCCCTATGACTTCCCGAGCCCATTAATAAATCAGACCCAGGTTCCTTCTTGGAGTCCCCAGCCTTCAAGACATCCCCGCTCCATCTGTCTCCTCGAGTGCTCATACAGTTTCCCAATTCAGATACACACCACCTCAGAGCTCTGCCAAGACTGGTCCAGTGTTGTTGCAAGGATCCTAGACCTTCACGCCGTCTTCTAAACATCTGCTAAAACGAATCGAACAGATATTCTCACTCACGGACACAAAGATCTATGTACAATCATGTCCACTGCAATACCTTTTAAAATAAGAGGACAGAAATAACCTAACAGTCCATTTAGTAGGAATCCGGCTAAATGCATGATAGTGTACCCATGTGACAGCAAGCCCTGCTGCCTTTGTAAAGAAAGGAAAGACGAGCACCTGCTAATATGGAATGAGCTCTAAGAATGGAAAGAACAAACTCCAGGGCAGTGTGTATCACATGCTACCAGTTGAATAAAGAAGAAATGTGAATATATATATATACATATATATTTATATATATACATATATATATTTATATAGTTATACAAAATTTCCAAAAGGAAATACAAAATATGTATTAGTGGCTGCCTCCAGGGACTGTACTGGGTTGTTGTTTTTACTGCATACTTTTTTGTAGTCTGGATTTCTGCTTTTAACCATATATGTGTATCACTCTTTTGATGTATTTTTAAATGCTTAAAATACCTCTTCCATATAAGCTTCCCTTGTTTACCCCCAAAGAACTTCTCTCCTCATGTGGTCTGTCCTCACTTGTCTCCAGGAGATAGCCAAGCAGCCCCCAGGGGAGAGGGACCAGGCAGGGCATGAACAAGTGCAAGCTGTGACTATCTGCCATGAGACTGAATGGGCCTGGGATCTGGGGATCTGGAATCATCTGCTCCAGTGTGAATAAGACTGGGAGACACTGATGGTTTACAAGGAGTCCAGACCTCTCTCCAGTAGGTTAAAGACGTGGGTTTATTGATGGGCACAAGTGCCCTTCAGTTACTACAGAGAGGTAAAAAATATGGAAGGGGCACATAAATTTAACTCAGAAATTTCGATTGCCTTTGAATAACCATTTTATATTAGTTTTATATTAAACTCCTATGTTAAATACAGTGTGGGGCAATTGAAGAAGCAGGCTCCATGCAATAGCCACTGTTGGGGGTCTCTGAGTAGGACCTCTTCCAGTTCACACTCATCGCCTTCCTGGGCCCAGCCAGAGTCTCAGCCCCAGTCACCACAGCCTTGTGGAAGTCTGGCCTGAGGACTCAGGGGAGCCCAGCAGACTGTCTAGTTCCCAGCTGCTCAGCCAGCTGAGCCCTTCCTCCAGCATGTGCCATGGGGAGCACTCATCAGGGCTTAGAACTTAAATAGAATATGGTTTCTAATTGTGAAGAATTTGCGAAGAAGCTAAAATAGATTTCTAAAGATGTGTTCTTGTAAATCAAACCTCATACCGTAGACAAAGCTGGTCTCACTGTCCCTTTATCAGGACGGTATGGGCTCGGGGTGATTTTTCCATTCAGAGATCAGCTTGCTTTGCGCCATCTACTCTCACTCCTGCCCACTCTCCGCTGTGACCAAGTGGCCAGAGATAAAGGTTTAATGTGGGGGGAAGTTTTTCCCCTATATTTGAGTAAACCCCCAGCCTCCTCCATGGAGAACTGCCAGCAGCTTGTAGCTAGTTAGTCCATCCTCACAGAGGGGAGCTGTTTCTCTTGCTCTGAGTCACCATTATCTTTCCTCCCTCTTTAGAAGATGGGCCTGGGCAAGGGGAGGGTCTAGAAATATGGTCATTCCAGATTAGAGAGGAGGAAAGATGAGTAACACATTAGAAAACCAGGGGAAGGGATCTTGATGCTAATAATAACAGCACCCTGCATTTGCATAGCACTTGATAAACTTGCTGTGCGGCTTTGGATTTGCTTTGCGGTCTTTTAAGAACTACCCAACCTGTCTACCCGTTCTTGTCCTGTCTGTAAGTTGAGAGATATTATTTAACAGTCCTGCTCTTATTAGAAATCACTTTCAAAACAAGATACAGACTATAAACAAACTCCCGTATCCTCTCTGGACTGCGCCCCATTCTGTAGACTCCTGTGGTATCATCCATTGCGCTGATTCCCCCAAGCAATGCTGGGATGTGAGAGAGGGAACAGCTGCAGCAATTAGGAATATATGCAAAAGTTCTCCAGCTCCTTGCGGCTCAACCGAGCAGGGTTCTGGGCTTTGAGTTGTCTCTTTCCAACCTGTGGAAGAAAAGGAGAACTTCAGAACCTCCCACTTGGAGATCCTCATAGCAACCTTGGGAGGTATGAATTATTATCCCCATTTTACAGATAAAGAAAATGAAGCTTGGATTAGTTACATAAATAACAGGGTCAACGACTAGTATGAAGTAAAGGAGGGGCTTGAAGCCAGGTCTTCTGGCTCCAATTCTAGTGTTTTTTTTTAACATGACCCTGCCTAGATTGCATTGGCCCACGAGGTGTCCTCTACAACCGTAGTCTGTCTGGTTGGCTTTAATGTGAGGCTACAGCTGAAGTGCCAGGAATCCCAGCAGGTACCCATCCACCCTGTCCCTTGTGACCACTGGCAGCCTCTTTATTGGGCCTTGGAAACTCTGGTGTATCATGAGGCTAGCAGGTGGGAGTGCCCTCCATGCCCTAATTTCTCTAGTAAAAGTGGGAAGTATTATACCTACCTCATGGCACTCTATGAGAATTAAATGAGATAATTTGCATGAAGCCACTAGCAGGCTGCCAAATACATAATATGCCCCTAATAACTGTTGAGTCCCTATTTTCCATTACTTAAATGGCCTGATGGGAATATATTCAGCTACCAGGCTCAATGGTCACTTTATAGTGTCTATCCCAGCAGCAGCTCAAGATTACCTATACCCTAGAATGGTTCCCAATTACTTGCTAACTTTAGAAAGTCATTTAGATCTACTTACCCTCCCGTCTCTTCACCCTTGCCCCATACACCCTTGGAAGGGACAGATGTCCAGCGTACAGCCCACAACTGGAGACTAGCTGGAGGACAGCCCTAATTTAAAACACAAGCTCCCGGGGATCCCTGGGTGGCGCAGCGGTTTGGCGCCTGCCTTTGGCCCAGGGCGCGATCCTGGAGACCCGGGATCAAATCCCACGTCAGGCTCCTGGTGCATGGAGCCTGCTTCTCCCTCTGCCTGTGTCTCTGCCTCTCTGTGTGTGTGTGTGTGTGACTATCATAAATAAATAAAAAAAATAAAAAATAAGACACAAGCTCCCCACTGGGTATAATGTAAGACTAGTGAATCACTGACCTCTACCTCTGAAACTACAATACATTATATGTTCATTAATAGAATTTAAATAACAAATAAATAAAAATCTTTAAAATGGAGATAATAAAACAATAAAAATACATTTAAAAAATAAAACTCAAGTTCCCCATTAAGAGTCCAACCCTAATACATGATATGACCTTGAATTAGACCCTTGCTTTCATTGGACCTCAGTTTCTCCTTATCTCTAAAATGAAAACGTGGGTAAGAAGATCCCTCGGGGATGCCTCGGTGGCTCAGTCAGTTAAGAGTCTGCCTTTGGGTCAGGTCATGATCTCATCAGGGTCCTGGGATTGAGCCTCACATTGGGCTCAAAAAAAACTATTTTGTTGTTTTTCTGCTCATGCGCTCTCTCTCTCTCTCTCTCTCTCTCTCTCTCTCTCTCTCTAATGATTAAATAAATAAATTATCTTTAAAAAAAAAAAAAAAAGGTAGTTCCAGAATCTTACCTCTTCATAGATAGTATGACTGAAGGAAGAGCTCTGGTTCTTCTTAGATTCAGACTGCAAATTCAGACGGTAAAGAGTGCTTAACTTCAAGTTGGGAAATATCCCACTCCTAACTGATGTGAGAGGCCCCCAAAGAGACACAAGGTCCAAAAAAATCTCTGGACCCACAGCCAAAGGTGAATAGAATCTCCTGCCCCAAGAGTAAGTAATGGGGTTTATGACCTCCAGAGAAGACACAAGACATACTTGTGTGTGACATGAACCTTCTGAACCAAAGTCAGAGGTTACTCTCCTGCATCCACATACCCCTCAGATCCGCACATGCACACATTCCCAGCACACACACAAGCATACTCACACACACGCCTTCAGACAGGCCTGATACAAATACTGCTCAGACCATGCATCTCATCAACACAGAGCATACACACACACACCCCTAGTGTAAGCAGTTCTGGACACACATAAGAACTGACCCTACCACATACCCTGACCACGGTGAAACCCTAGGAACATTGGAATTCAGAAGCACTTTCAGTAGAATGTAGAGTCTCCTAAACAACACCAAGCCTGTGACCATCCCTATGGCCACGTATTGCAGCAGGTAACTTAATTACAAATGTCTCTCATGGCGGAATCTTGAGCGATTGAATAACTTATTGAAAGGAGGGTGAATAAAAAGTCTGAAAAATCTGTCTTAAATCTCTCCCACATTTGACCCTGACCTGCATGTACTCAACACTTCCACAGTTTGGCATATTCCCAACTTCTCATACTACCATGTTAAGTCTAGGTCTTCATACTATGACTCCAGCCTTGGAAATACCATTCATCCAACCCCTCTCCCACCCAAGGGGAAAAGATGACTAATGAGCACCAAGTACACAAAAGAGCTGTGAGCTCAGCTCAGAGCAGGATTTGAGGGGACAGTGATGGGTTGCCTCAGCCCCAAGGCCCCCACCAGCAGATGACTGGTCAGAACCTTTCTCTGGTTCCCTGAAAGTCAACACTGTGTCTCTCTAGGTCTGGGCTACTTCTCTGGCTCTGGGCTATATTCCCACACCTTGGAAACCCCTCTAGTATTTCTTGCTGTCGCCTCAGTTGGCCTCCTAAGGACAACTTAGCCTCTCTGCACAAAGCACCACTTTTCTATCTCTGATTGTTCTTGTCCCACAGAAACTCCTAGAGACTCCTTTAATCCACTGCTGGCTTAGTCTCAGAGCTGTTCTTTTTCTCCAAACACAATCAGAAAGGCATTTCTTCCTCATTTAAATAGAGCCATTTAACCCAAACTGCTTAGATATACACAACGGAAGGCAACTCACAGGGAAGTTGCCCACCCGCTCTGCAAATGTGGCCCTCCCGTGCACGTGCAAAAACCACATTTGCATTCACAGCACGCCCTGGAGGAGGAGACTCACCTTCCGGGAAGGCTGTACCAATGCATACAACGTATTGTTTTCTTGTGATGTAGGAGCAGAAGACTAAAGAAAAGAGAAATAAAAGTATTTCAGGAACATAGACCTAGCAGCATCCTAGGGCCCTCAGAGGCCATCTCTTCCACCCCTCCCCCCAGTCCTGCCCAAAGAGAAGCCAAAGTATTAGCCACAGGAACCCTGGACTCAGGAGGTCAGACACCTGAATGCCAGTCCGGCCCTGTCCACTAAGATGGAACCTAGTCTGTACACGCATTCTCCTCTAACCTTGATAACACACCGACGAGAGGAATGATCATCCTTGGCCCCACTCCACAGATGAGGCTCCGAAAGGATAAATAGCCCAAGTCAGATGGTGTAGTCACAGTAGAAGCAGAATTGAAACCCCAGACTCGCCAGAGGTGTTTCCTCAACACCTCAGTATATCCCGTTGGCAACATGCCTTCCTTCTCTGCACCTGAGCCAGGTGTCCTCAAAGGCAGGTAACCACCCTCCTTCTAAGAAGTTCCAGAGGAGGCGGCTCCTTATCACTCAGCATCTCAGTCTGAGATGAGCAATTTCCTGCATTTATTCAGATTCCTCCTGTTGGGATGCAATGTGGCTAAAGCTAGAAAACTGGCGGATATCAGCCACTCCTGCTCTCTCCCTAAGGCTCTTCAGCTTTGACCCCACTATCAGTAAATCTCAATATCACGGGGAGCAGAAGGAGTCAGTCCCCAACTTGGGGATTCCTGAGTGACTGTGAGGGTTGAGCACCTCCCTCCCTCCTCTGCTCCTTCTTCCTCAGCTCCTCTTCCCTTCATTGCCCTCCCTTCCCCCTCTGTCCCTTCACCCTCTCCTCTTCCTCCTTCTCTAGATCATTCCCTGAAACCTATCACCATTTCCCCAGGAATTTTCTTTGCCGGGCAGTTTAGCCACCAAGTTGAAGAGTTTACTGCGTTGGGACTGAATTCTTTAAGAAATAAGTTATATTTATCAGAAATTGTTCATCACTGGCCACCAAGAGGCAGCGTTCCCCTCGAGAGAGATGCCCTAGTCTGGGTTAGCGATAATGTTATTTTAGCTGTCAAAATTAGAGGATGCTTCTCCAGTTTATGGTGAATTTCTATAATCCCTGAAAGTGAAAGAGGAAGGGGCAGGTGGGGTGGAGGCCCAGAAGCCCTCTAGCTCAGCTTTGCCACTCCCCGGCTCTGCGGCCTGGAGCACATTAGTTAACCTGTGTCTGGCTCCTCATCTGAGAAATGGAGGTTGTACTGGACCTACTTCGTGAGGCTGTTATGTGAGATTCGTTAGGAAAATAGACATAGTAACTACTTAATAAATGTTATTGTTAAGTCATGAAAGATAAAAGAGAACAACCCAGATACCCTCTTTCCTGAAAACAGGTATAATGAGGAACAGAGATTAAAAAAAACAAAGACAACCTATAAGGGCCCCACTTATTGGAAGTGGCAGGGAAGGAAAAACAGAAGCTGAGTCCCCTGCCAAGTTTCCTCCTCCTCCCAACTACCTAGGCCACACCTGCTGCCACGCACGGAGGGAGAGAGAAGGCCTATCTACGTCAGACTTTCCAGCCCTGTTCAGCTCTGCCAAGAGACTCCAGAGCCACACAGATCATTTCAGTTTAATGCAGCTGAGGCCAAGCTGTCCTCTAGACTCTAGGAGCCCCAAGAGTCCTGCTATTCAGGAGTGTGAGCTTCCGGAAGGCCTCAGGGAGCCCTGGAGGCAGGTATGGGATGGATCCAAGACATGGAGTGGTACCTGGGACTGGATCATGGAGTAGATGGTGCTCCCTTCCCCAGGCGGATTCTGGTTCTGCTCCTGCACAAGAAATAGTAAAGGGCCACATGGTAACGTGAGCGGAGGGCCATGTCTGTCCAGATTTGGATGGGGTGGGGAGAGAGAGAGCAAACCAGAGGGGCTCCGGGAAGCTGGAAGGGAGGTGGTCATTAGTTGCCGCAGACTGAGGAGAGACCGTAGGAGGGATGACCCACCTGCAGTAGTTAGTGTCCCACCTGGAGTAGTTAGTGTCCCACCCAAGGAACCACCCAGGTGTGAAGAGATGCACTGAGTGACCGACCCATCCAAGGGGAATCCTATCACTTGCTTTACTTTGGTAATTTAGAAACTTACCTCTGCTGACTTCACAGCCAAATTGGCCACATTAACCACTGATAATGGGCTGAGCTCTGAGTAGGGCTGTGATCTGAGCCTTACCTCGGGCCTTGAAATTCAGAAGCTTTCACTGTGTTAAAGCCCCTTCTCTAGGCCCGGCCTTGGGGGCCAGTTTGCCCTGGGCCTCAGGCCTGCTGCCCCACAACAACCCCTGGACCTGGAGCCAAAGGCAGGGAGACCATCCTGGTCCTGGCCCCTCCTGCCCACAGGAGCCTGCCTTGGGGGTGTTTCACCTGAGTGCACATTGCCAGGTGGGGCTCCGAAGGGGACAAGAAGAAGCCAGCAGGGTCCATTAGACAGGGAAGGAGCTAGAGGAGCAGAGAAAACCTCACTATCCTTGGAGGCTAGAAAGTCATAGACATCTGGGGAAAAAAAAAAAAAATAACGGGATTTTCCGGCTTTGCTTTTCTGCCCAGACCTGAGTGTAGTGTCTCCAGAGAGGTCAGAACTGAGCCCCCCGTAAGAACACACGAACTCAAGATCTAAGCCTTCAGACGCAACCCCAGAGCCGGTAGGGATGAGCCAGCAAGGGATGAGGCCGCACAGGAGGAGCTCCAGAGTCAGAGGCAGAGACAGGCCTGCATCCCCGAGAGTCCTTGTACTCTGGCTCCCCTCCACTAGTCTTCACTTCCTGAACCTAAAACCGTCCTCCCTGTGTGGGAGGAGAGGCAAGTCATCAGGAGCATTTGGGCTTCGGCCGCTACAGGTGGATGCACTTGCTCTCAGGAGTCTATCCGCATCGGGTAGTGATGGAGAAAGGGTTTCCTTCACCTGTCACCCCCGTAGTCCACCCCCCACCCCCCCCCACCGCCCCCCACCCCACCCCCCGGCCGGGTTCCCCCTGAGACCAGGCCCGAGGAAGCAGCTTGTCCGCTCCACCAGGCCTCCCACCTGATAAGGTGGCAAATCTCGCCCCTGTGACTTCCTGCCTCACCTCCTCAGGTCCAGCACCCAGAATGGAGGTGGGAAGGGGCCTGTAGGCCCACGCACCCCCCCTCCACATTCAGCTAGGCTCTGCACCCCCCACACCTGGACCACTTCCTGCCCTGCTCAGCCAGAGCAGCAGGGGGCACTCTGCAGCCCCCACCCCGCAGCCCCCACCCTGCAGTCCCCCCACCCCGTGCAGCCCCCCGCAGCCCCCTGCACCCCCCCAGCAGCCCCCTCTCAGCAACCCCCCCACAGTCCCCCCAGCAGCCCCCTCGCAGCCACCCCTACAGCCCCCCTGCAGCCTTCCCTGCAGCCCCCCCACCCCCGTGCAGCCGCCCCCCCGCAGCCACCCCTGCAGCCACCCCCCACCCCCCAGCAGAGTTGGCCTCCCCTGCGGAGGCTGGCCGGAGCAGTTGTCGCAGAGGCCGGTGCCTTGTGCTGACCTGCCTGCTGCCTTGAGCACCCTGGGGGACCCTGGCCTGGCCCGGGTGTGGGCCCACAGACCCCCAGAGCCCCAGCACCCCCACACCGCTCAGGCTGCCGTCCCCTGCAGCCAGGGCGACCAGCAAGGGACCCCTAAAGGTGAACCTAGACCTGTAAGGACATGAGAGGCCGTGGCCAGATACAAGGGAGCCGGACTGGGGGGCCTAGCGGGCCGGTGAGCCTGGTGGGGACGGCGCCCCGAGGGCCGCGCGGGGAGCAGGATCAGCATCCCCCCCCCCCGCCCCTCCGGGTGTGCTGGGCTCCCAGCTTCTCAGCAATTTCCCCGCTTGCTGCTGCTCCTCCACCGCCGGAGCCAGGAGGCCCATCGGGAGGGCAGGCCGGGGCTGGGGAGCCCTTTGAGAAGCCACCTGGGTGGTACCCAGTGTCCCCCGGTTCCTGCCCGCCGCCCGAGAAGCACCCCCAGGCTAGGAGACCGACCCCAGCCCCCGAGCCGTACTTGATTCCTCCCCATCTGCACGTGGTTGACATCTTCATAAACCGTCAGAGGCTCCCCCGGGCAGGCCGCTGTAGGAGGAAAGCAGCAAAGACAGAGCTGGAGAGACTTCCAGAGGGTATCCCCACCAGGCTTCTGCTTCCTCCAGTCCCACCTCCGTCCCAGGTGGCTGAGACCTTGAGGAAGGTTCTAGAAAGGAGGCAGATTAGTGCTCTCCCCAGGGTACCCACAGGGCGCGGGAGCAGAAACCACCCAACACACTTACTGCACTGGGCGGGCAGGTCCCCCACAACCCAGTACCTGCAGCTAAACCGGCCCGTGGGGCTGTGGACATCCCGAGGGCCCCGAAGGTGTGACGTGGGAGCCAGGGCCCAGCATCCGCTGCTGCAGGTCCCCGAACATGCACAGCCATGTCCCAACATTCCAGAGGCAAAGCAGGTGCTGTGCTCTCAGGCGAACGGCCCCGGGGGCGTCAGGTTGGCAGCAGCACCTCCTGGGGACCCTCCACTTACCTGACTGCTGCTTCTTCCTCCTCCACACGCAGAAGCAGGTGAGGGTGACCAGGAACAGTATGAGTAGACAAATGCCGACGATCACCAGAAAGTACACAAAGTTGTCTTCTAGGGACCGGAAAGCACGAGGCCCGAGCTGTCAGCCCACCTCTCCGCTTCGCACCTATGCAAACCTGCACTCCCCTCTCACGCCCCACGAATTCACCATCAGGCCAGCTCTCTCTGTGGTTGAGTGACCTCCCCTGGGTGATGCTAAGAGCACGGATCTTAATACCTGGCAGGCCTGGCTCTGTGCCCTTGGGCAACTTCCTTAACCTCTCTGAGCCTCCGTTTTCTCACTTCTAAAAGGAGATGATGATCTACACAAGGGGGTTGATTGTATGACCTAATATATGTAAAGCATCTGGCACAGCAAATGTGACAACTGTCCATCCTTTTGTTAACTCACCAAAACTTATTGCACCCCACTCTGTGCCAGGCAAGGCCCCACTTTCCCCTTCCTGCCACTCCTCTGCTCTTCCTCATTTGAACTTCTACATTTAATATCTGTGTCACACATGTGGTCGTAGGAGCCCACGGACCGGGGAGAAGGGAAAGGAATTACGTGTTCTGAGTGCTAGCTGAGGCTCTTCACAAACAGAACCTCATCTAATCTTACCAGCAATCCTGCGAGGTACCTATTATCACTCCCATTTTACCCAAGAGAAAAATTGAGGCCCAGAGAGGGTAAGGAATGTGCCTGAGATCACAGAGCTAGTGAATAACGAAACCATAGCTGACATGACCCAAAAGCCAGCGGTCCTTGTCCCTCCAAATCGCTTCAGCTTGCTGGTTTCTCTTTTGCCCAGGAATGTCTGGTTTTGTCACCCCTATTTAACTGTAAGTTCCTTAAAGACAGGGACAGCAAGTAGGTTTTTCCCTGTAATGCCCATGCTGACACATTAAGTATTTATCTCATAAAAATTGGTGCAAACTTAACTTGAGATAAGTCTTAGGATGAGCATAAGCAATAAATCAAGAAGTCTTCCAGAAACCCCTGTGATCATCCTGATGTTCCCACGACCCAGGGCACTGTTGTACACCATAGTTACCCCTTGGGGAACTACGTGGCTTGGGGGGGTTGTCCCTCTAGGAGGAGGAAGTAGGTCTCCAGCAGTCTCTCAGAGGAAGGAAGTGATGATGGTCAGTAGCCATGGCAGGGCTGTGACCCACCCACCAAATAACTAAGCCTTCCCTCCATGAAGAAAGACTCGCATCTCCTAGGAGATTCTTGATGGGGATAAAATTCTTCCCAGACTAAGACAGGCCTGGTTTATGGGAACCTTGTGCCCAGAGACCAGAACCACCCCAGGGAGGGGCGGCAAGGCCCTTGAGGAGGCAGCCAAGAGATCTTATGCCCAAGTGTCTCCTGAGCCTGATTATGGGGTCCAACACCTTCAACCCTATAGTCCAGTGTCCCACTTACGCTTGCTGGCAGTCGGACAGCCCTGGGTGAGTCTGAGGGTGTGGTTTGCCGAGCTGACTGGATTGCTGACGTTGCAGGTATATATGTATGAGTCATTGACAACCTGCTCTTCTGATCTGGTGAGATTCATTTCTGTCTGGATCAGCTCACTCCCTCTATACCAAGCATAGCTCACGTTACCACTGCTCGAGACCGAGCAGGACAGAAACAGTTGACATGTATCTCCTTCCAGGACCCTCCACTCCTTCAGTATTTGGGGCATCTCGATATGATCTGGAAGCAGAGATTCTGATCAGAAAGGTGCTGGAGTAAGAGCCCTACAGGAGGCAGGGGGCAGGCTGAGCTGTCCTAGGGACTCACCAAATATAGAAACCTGGAAGTAGTGATTATCCACCTTCCCATTCTCATCAGTCACCTCCAGGTTGTAGCAGCCACTGTGGTTCAGCCGAACTGCCTTGATGAGAAGCGCTAAGTTCTCGGTTGTAAAACTGAGTGTACTGTCGAAATGATTACTAGTCTGGGGTACGTATTTGACATCAGACCCATTCTTCCAAGTCAGTATCACGGAAAATTCCGAAGCTAAGTACCACTTCACCTTCCATTGGGCAGAGTTTATGTGCTTTGTCGGCACCCCGAGGGGCTGTAAGAAGAGTTGCTGTCCTGAGAGTCCAACCACACGTTCAGCGGAACCTAAGGATTCCAGAAAAGAGAACCCAGGCTGGAGGTGGCAGGAAGGGTATCCGCCCAAAGCACTGCAGGCAGTTGGATGTGGCTTCCCTTGAGCCAAGAGGGTGGGGCTATGTTTGAGGAGATCAGAGCCTAAGAGAACCTGAAGGTGTCCTTCGCTTTCCTGTCTCCTCTCTCCCCAAACTCTGTGTCCCTCATCTGAAGGAGCCCACCAGCCAGTAATAATAGCTAAAATCTCCTGACCTCTTACTGTGGGGCAGCAGGTTTTAAACACTTTCTAGGTTTTAACCATGTTTAACTATGTATTTTAACAATGACCCTAAGGAAAAAAAAGAAAAACAATGACCCTAAGAGAGTTTTATCCCCATTTTACAGGTGGAAAAAAAATGCGTAGAAAGAACTTAAAACTAACTAGCCCAAGTTACACAGTGAGAAAGATGAGCTTGAAATCCGGTCAGTTTAGCTGTAGAGGACGACTTCTTAACCACAACGGTCTGAACGTGGTATCTGACATTCCTCCCTCCCCGCAGTGCTGAGATGACCACTAGCGGCCTGTGGTGACTGCTGGAAATTCTGAATGGCCAGACGAACCTTCTAACCTGAATTCATAGCTCCTTCTTCTGTCCTCCCACAGAACTAGATTCGTAATCCTCTCTTGTAGCATTTAGCACATCAGACTGTGGTCATTAGTCATTAACGTTTGCCAGCTTTTTAGTCACTAGAAAGTCTCCACAGGGATTGCTCCCTTAAGAATAATTAGAGAAAAATAAAACTACATGGCCTTGATATATCCCGCATTTGTCCTCTCTAGAGATCAAGATGTATGCTAAAAAAATAAGGGTGTGATATAGAGCTGCTAGTTATTGCTTACCGAGGAAAGCCCAGTCAGTAAAGAAAAATGGAAGTTTCAGCGGCCATTTTTAGCACGCAATAGTGGATGCAGGGAATACAGAGTTTTGCCAGGGAGCATCAGAAAGAATTTAGAAGAAGAATGGGAGATGGGGATTGTTATACAAACAGATCTGTTAAAATCGAGGACAGGCCGTTAAGAGGATAGCAATGGAGAGAAGGATTTTTAGATCTTCATATGCATTATAAACGCGCTCACTCACAACCACACCTTCATCCTGGCATTTCCTCAGAAGCCAGAGTAAATAATTAAGGAAATTGTGTTTCTTTAATCTTGACTCTGAAGAATAAAACACATAGGGTTCCAGGGCACCTGGCTGGCTAGTCAGTAGAGCACGCAAGTCTTGATCTTGGGGTTGTACGTTCAAGTCTTACACGGGTGTAGAGATTACTTAGAAAAAAAATCTTTGAAAAAACAAACAAGAGCATCTGGGAAGCTCAGTCGGTTGAATGTCTGTCTTAGGTTCAGGTCATGATCCCAGGGTCTTGAGATCGAGCCCCCATGTTGGGCTCCCTGCTCAGTGGGGAGTCTGCTTCTCTCTCTCCCTCTGCTGCTCCCCCTGCTTGTCTCCCCTCTCTCTCTCTCTCTCTCTCAAATAAATAAATGAAGTCTAAAACAAAACAAAACACATGGGGTTCCTATTCATATTTCCATGATTTGAACTGGCTCTGCCCTTTGCTAAACCAGAAACAGAGACTGTGTCTTTGTCTCCCATAGTTCTATATATATGAGAATAGGTCGACAGGCACAATCAAGCATTACACAAAGATCATGAAAACAATCCCCACTGGTTACAATCCCCAGTGTAACCAGGGGCCTGAAGAGTTGTGGCCTCTTTGTGTACAAGACATGGTTCCCGACTCCAGAGAATTTGTGATCCGAAAGCAGAAAACACTTTTACTCCACAATATATACTTAATAGTTGAGATAGATAATCATCTAAAGGGGTGCCTGGGTGGCTCAAGCGGTTAAGGGTCTGCCTTCAACTCAGGCCATGATTTTCAGGGTCCTGGGATAGAGCCCCGCATGCGGCTCTCTGCTCAGGGGGGAGTCAGCTTCTCTCTCTCCCTCTGCCCCTCACCCCCACTCGTGCTCTCTCTCTCTCTCTCTCTCTCACTCTACTCTCTCTCCCAAATAAATAAAATCTTTTAAAAGATTTTAAAAACAATCATTTTAAAAACAATCATTTAATGACTTCTAATTATGATAATGAAGACCACATTAAGACATGCTAACCAACGCTCCCATGGAGAATAACCAAAAAATATATATATAGGCAAAATATAAAAGCATGTTGCTAAAGGCATCAGGGAGCTAATAAAGCAGTGAAATACTATGGGGCCAAGATCTGGAAGAAGGAAATTCAGAGAGGTGAGACAGCATTTTTGACTCCTCTGCCTTGGAGGTTTGCAATAAACTCAAGAAACTAAAAGGACACAAAGTTCAGGGATCTTGTGTAAAGAAGTGGGTATATGCCAGTTAAACGATGCACTCTTGATTTCTGCTGAGGTCATGATCTCAGAGTTGTGAGATGGAGCCCAGAGTCAGGCTCTGTGCTCACCAAGGAGTCTGCTTGAGATTCTCTCCCTCTCCTTCTGCCCCTCCTGCCCTTCAAATAAATAAATGAATGAATAAAATCTTTAAAAAGAAAAGAAGTGGGTATACCTAAATCCATCAGATTTGGGGTTGGTATCGTAAAGGGCTACACACTGAGGGTAAGAGCAAACAAGAAATAGACCAACTCTCACAGGAACTGAAGCTTAGTTTTGAATCATCCCAACTCTTAAATGGATTAGAGTAATCTAGAATTTCTAGTATTTCTAACTTGGCTGCCTACTAGAGGCAAATATAAATTATTCCTGGAGGAAAATAACATCAACACAAGCATTAAATTATTTCTAAAATGTTGAGGGGTGCCCGAGTGGCTCAGTCAGTTAACTGTCTGCCTTTGACTCAGGTCATGATCTCGGGGTCCCGGTATGAAACCTCACATTGGACTCCCTGCTCAGCAGGAGGGCTGCTTCTCCCTCTGTTCCTCCCCCCACCCCACTTGTGTGCACTCTCTCTCCCTCTCTCTCAAATAAGTAAATAATCTTCTAAAAAATTATTCCTAAGATTTTCACACATAATGTCCAAAATGAAATAAACAAACAAGCCTAAGGAGAGGAGACATGTACAAAACTCAAAAAGAAAAATAATAGAGGGCAGCCCTGGTGGCGCAGCAGTTTAGCGCCGCCTGCAGCCCAGGGCGTGATCCTGGAGACCCTGGATCGAGTCCCACGTCAGGCTCTCTGTATGATGCCTGTTTCTCCCTCTGCCTGTGTCTCTGCCTCTCTCTGTCTCTATGAATAAATAAATAAAATCTTTAAAAAAAAGAAAAGAAAAATAATAGAAATAGGCTTAAAGGGCATCTAGGTAACTGTATAATTTGATTTAATGTTTCAAGGAATTAAAATTTAAAGTTTGAGAATTTCAGCAGAAAATCAATATGATAGAATGTAAAAATGGCCATGCCCCTTGCAAGATGGCTTTGTAACTCCACTCATCATCGAGAGATGGGACTCACTTCCCTATCTCCTGTAACTGGGCTGGCCTTCTAATACAGTGCAGCAAAAATGACATTATGCCAGGGGCGCCTGGGTGGCTCAGTCAGTTAAGCATCTGACTTTGGCCCAATTTCTGATCTCAGGGTCCTGGGATTGAGCCCCACCTCAGGCTCCACGCTCAGCGGAGAGTCTGCTTCTCTCTCTGCCTCTGCCCCTCCCCCCCACTCATGCTCTTTCTGTCTCTCAAATAAATAAATAAAATCTTTTTTTTAAAAGAGAGAGAAAGGACATAGAGATGGAAAATATTATACAACAGAGGATCAATAAGCCATTTTTTATTTTATAAAAAAACTGAAGTATGGTTAATGCATAGATTGATGAAAAGAAATGTGAAAAGATACAAATAAGCAATATCAGAATTTTTTAAAGATGTCACCATAGATCCTACAGATACTAAGATTTTAAGATATAAGCATATAAGAGCATATAAACTGCTTTCCATTAATAAATTTTAAAATTGAGATTAAATAGAAATTTTCTATTAAGTAAATTGAATCTATATTGAAAAACTTTCTCTCAAAGTAAACATCACTGGTTAACTCTACAAAATATTTAGAAAGAAGTAACTCCAATCTTATACAAAAGCTTTCAGAGATAGAAGTAGATAATACTTCTGAACTTGTTTTATTAGGTTAACATAGTTATTAGGTAGACACCAAAATCTGCAAGGTTGTCACAAGAGAAGAAAATTAAAGGCTCTTTCACTCAGAACCATAGGTGTAAAAATCCTAAGCAAAAGATGTACAAACAAAATAGAGTAAAACATATAAAGAAACAAGAAAGTGCAGCCTATTTACAAGGGAGGAAAAGAAAGTAACAGAAACTGCCCATGAAGAATTGTAAACATTGGACTTAATAGGCAAAAACTTTTTAAATTTATTTATTCATGAGAGATACACAGAGAGAGAGAGGCAGAGACACAGACAGAGGGAGAAGCAGACTCCTCACAGGGAGCCCAATGTGGGACTCGGTACGGTCCCTGAACCTGAAATCATGCCTTGAGCTAAAGGCAGACGCTCAAACCACTGAGCCATCCAGGCTTCCCTTTTTTTTTTTTTAAGTAGTCTCCATATCCACCATGGAGCCCAACACAGGACTTGAACTCACAACCCTGAGATCAAGACCTGAGCTGATATCAAGAGTCAGACCCTTAACCAACCGAGCCACCCTGGCACCCCTAGTCAAAAACTTCATATCAGCTGTCCGAAATTTAACAACACAACTACATCAATTAAAATTACTCAAGTTGAGGGGGATCCCTGGGTGGCTCAGTGGTTTAGTGCCTGCCTTTGGCCCAGGGCGATATCCTGGAGACCTGGGATCGAGTCCCATATCGGGCTCCCAGCATGGAGCCTGCTCCTCCTTCTGCCTGTGTCTCTGCCTCTCTCTGTGTGTGTCTTTCATGAATGAATTAATAAATAAAATTTTTTTAAAAATTATTCAAGTTGAGGAATAGAAAGAGAAAAGAATGAAGAAAAATAAGGAGC